CATTGTTTTATTCATCTGTAAAATGAGATGATCTCTCAGACACTCCAGGGCTAAAATTGTATAATTGCTCTTCCAGATCATTCATTCCTTAAGGGCATGATCTGCTATGTCTGATTCATTTCGGTATTCTACATAGTGCCTTCTGCACAATCTTGAATATAGGCACTCAGTAAAGGCTTGTTGAATCAAGGAAGGAATGAATGATTGGCAGTGTATTGTAATGATAAGTAGCCAAATTTGCATTTTACCCAAGTCACCTATCATTTTATTTTATACTTTTTTCTCAGCAGGAGCTCTTAAGTAGTGATACCTGAACGTGGTCAGTAGTTAAAGAAACAAGAGGACAAAACATGTTTCCATTTTTGTTCTGTTGTTCAAGGGTGTCTTCTGGGTTGGATCAGGTCTCTAGAAGAAATGTCGGGGAAACTGATTCTTTGCTTACATGTTATCTTTTACTCATGCTTTCTAATTTCTTGACTTTCATTAACTCTTTAATGAATAAAGTATTGTAATTTTGTAATTTTGACCAAAGTAATATTTTTTTTAAGATTTTATTTATTCATTTGACAGAGTGAGACACAACAAGAGAGGGAACACAAGCAGGGGGAGTGGGAGAGGGAGAAGCAGGCTTCCTTTCTAGCAGGGAGCCCGATACGGGGCTCAATCCCCATACCCTGGGATCATGACCTGAGGTGAAGGCAGCCACTTAAGGACTGAGCCACCCAGGCGCCCCATTAACCAAAGCAATATTTTTAATGAAAAAGAATTATCTTCAGCTCCCTCCAGTTCTTTTTTTTTTTTTTTAAAGATTTATTTATTTTAGAGGGAGAGGTGGAAGGGAAGAGGGGAAGAGAGAGTGGGAGAGAAGAAGCAGGGTGGAGGGGCCAAAGGAGAGGGAGAAAGAGGCCTATGTAGACTCTGAGCTAAGCCCAGAGCTTAGTCCCATGACCCCGAGATCACAACCTGAGCTGAAACCAAGAATCGGTTGCTCAACTGACTGAGCCAACCAGGAGCCCCTGGCTCCCTCCAGTTCTGAGTCCAAGAAAACACAAATTAATCTTGATCCTTGTCTGAAAACTACCCAGATTCATGAAGTATTTCCTAATGCTGTGTTTAAATCTGTGTGCATTCTGGTGTGCCGGGTTAGTGTCTGTCCTGAGCTTAGGTCAAGATCCCGGGGTCCTGGGATGGAGGCCTACATCAGGCTGGGAGCCTGCTTCTCCTTCTCTCTCTGCTTGCTGTTCCCCTTTCTTGTGCTCTCCTTCTCTGTCAAATAAATAAATAAATATGTATAAGTTCATTGTATGTATTTTTTTCATTCGTTGTGTATTATGTATGCATACATGTATATATATAATAAATGTATTTCTAAGTGAAAATTTTAAACCAAATTAGTTACATTATTATTTTCACTTTCAGTTTAGAAATGGGAAAAGTAAAATCCTCCATCTAACCAAAAGCATATTTCCTCAGAGAGCCTTCTGCAACTTGTCGCTTTCTTGCTTTACTCTGCAAGGCTATGTATAAATGGAAGAGTGTAATATATTAGCCTTATATTCCCATGGTTTGAAGATTGCCTGAAAGAGCATTCCTTTAACAGACTTAAAAAAAATACATCATATTCTGGCTCTGGATTCAGAGTTCCTGGCTTCTATAACTTTCTGGTTATAAAAGTACTTTATGAGGTCAGGATATGGAAATAGAGCCTGTGCCACTTCTGAGGCCCTTTATAACTGCCTTTACTCTATCTTTCTCTGGGGATTAACCCCATTAGATCTGGTAAAATTTCCTAGAAACCATTGTGGTATAGCAAAGGCAGACTAAAATCTTTTGTGACTTTTTATGAAATACGTATCACAAACACACTCAATGAAGAGAAAGAGATATGTTTGCTGCACCAAATAGATATAATTTAATAGGCGTTGGTATATTATTCCCCTTTCATAAAAAGTGCAGTTTGCAGAAAGGTGGAGTATAGGAGGTAAATATAGGACAGATGATTCTTCTGTGGCATCGGTGACACTGAGTCACAGAGTAGATTCAAATGTGTGCTGAAGCAATTTCTTGAGTTAAATTCATATTTTGGCAACGTCATTGGGGTGATCAAGGTCTTTCCGGAATTGAATGGAATTATATAAGTCTGTGAGGCCCAAATATTTGTTATCCCCCACAACAAAAACCAAATAAAAATTCAAGAATTTGTTAGCCATCCATGGGTGTTAGAAGAGATAATTCATGAATTGATTTGGTGGTTGAAACTTCAAATCAGAAATCAGCAGGCTTGCTTTTAGCAGGTGGGCTCACAGCAGGTGGGCTGGCAGCAGGTGGGCTGGCAGCAGTAACAGCAGCAGGCTGGGCGGCAGCAGGACTGTCCACAGTAGGATGGGCGGCAGCAGGGGGCCTGGGCATGGTGCAGCTGGCAGCAGGTTGGGGGCGTGCAGCTCACCACGCAGCAGGGGGGCAGGCAGGTGTCCTCCACGCGGCAGTCAGGGCGGCACCACCTGACTCGGCAGCTCACAGCTCCACAGCCACCTTCCTGGCCACCACCAGTGCCACAGCTGGTCCCACAGCAGCTGGGCTGGCAGCAGGTTGGCTGACAGGAGCTGGTCTGGCAACAGCTGGGCTGGCAGGAGCTGGTCTGGCAGCAGCTGGGCTGGCAGCAGCTGGGCTGGCAGCAGCTGGTCTGACAACAGCTGGGCTGGCAGCAGCTGGAGCCACAGTTCCCACTGGTGGTGCAGGTGGGAAATCCACAGAAGCTAGTGGAGCAGCAGGCCATGGTCAGGACTTGGGTTGAGAGTTGGGTTGCTTGTAGGTGTTTTGGTGGTAAAGTCTATGTCGGACAGGCCTTTTATATATCTGAGCCAGCTTCTATTTGTAAAATTCTTAACATATCTTCCTTGTTTTTGTTTAAATTTGTTCCTCATTGGTCCTCTGATTGGCTTACATTGAAATACTTACGACCTATTATGAGCAGCAGTTTAGAAATTACTTTGTTTTATAGTTTCATTTGGACTCCTCATATTGGTTCTTTGCTCTTTGGAAGACATTTGTGGTTTTCCATGTTCAAAGAGCTCTTCCATTTTAGTCCACGTCAACACCCTCATTTTGTAGAGGTGGTTATTTCACGTGACACTCTGTCCATATCTCTAAGGCTAAGGATAATTGTGCTCTTAGTTTTAACTACTATTTTTTCCTTTTGGCTGTATGGACTAAATTCTGTTGAATGTAGGACATTGGAACATCCACTGAATTGAAGAGTACCTTTGGTTATAGATAATTAAAAGCTTCCAACTAATTTACTCCAACATTAAATCAAATTACTATCATAGTTCCTTTGACTTCAATCAACTTGAAATATGTAAATATTATTCATATTCTAGGTCAGAAATCTTGTGAACCAAGTGATATAGTTTATATAAAGATATCTCGCAGAGGGCTTAGCTTCAGGTAGATCTTTAATAAATGCTTACCAAATCTGATTTTGAGTGGGTGGAGTAAAAGGCATGATTCATGGACACATGTACCAATTATAAATAATTTAATAGAACTTTCAAGCTGTAGTGCCTCTCGTGGAGGAGTCCTTGTTATTGTCAAAAGAGAGTAGGAAGTCCTGAAATATTTTCTGCACTGAAAAGTTGAACCAAAGCTCAGGGAAAAACATCTGGGAGTTAGGACATTTTGAAGAAGGCACTGCTATCTACTATATTCTTTGAAATGCATTTGATCTATCATTGTCAAATGTTTTTGGTCTATCATTGCTACCAGTTAAATGATAGAAGTAAATTCTGGGAGCTTGTAAATAACTTGGAAAATATTTTTCATGAAGTGTCCTATATTTTGTCCTATTGTGTTTTATATATTGCACTAAAATACTTAATGAGGAATTAAAAAATTAAATGGTAAAAGTATTTTTTTATTCTAGATTTATGTTAATTTCCTAAGAGAACATCTTTCAAGTTGGGTTGCAAAATGCAATATACAGAGTTCGAGATTTGTAATGCATGTGTCTGACCATTGGTGATGGTAGAACTCACAGGGTATCTCCCTGGCTCTTTGTTCTACTGTCATTTAGATTAGAGATACATTTTATACAAACTCACAGTAAATGAAGGTGAGTATTAGCAGTTGAAACTTAGAGAGCAATTTTGGGACCAGTGGTAAGAATATAATAGGTACGATATAGGAATTAAACCTAAATGCTCTTGGAAAAGAGTATCTAAAAGATAGTATCTGGTAGATATTTTAAAATTTACTTATTAAGTAATATAATCTTTAGATGTTAGGTACACATGAAGGAGAACATCTAGTATATAAACTGGAAAGAGAATAAAACAGTAGAGATATATCTAGGTAGAAGTCCTATAGGTTTGAGCAACCTGAAAATTTTAGCCAAAAGTGATTTTACTGGTTTAGACCTAATCATAATAGGTTAGAACATTTTAGGTATTTGAATAAATAGAAAGATTATTAAATGCATGGAGGATTTTATTAACTGATGGATTCAGCATAATGTAATTAGTATTTAATCTTTCTGGTTTAGAGTTTCTGTTTATGCTTTAGGATTATTATCAAAATGCAAATCCACTCTTCTTGAATTCCAGCTAAGGGTGGACAACTTTGAGGTAGAAGGAAGAAAATAACTCAGTTTGCTTTACACATTTAACATTTTATTTGAAATTAAGGGGATATTCAAGGAGAAATGTCTGAAAATAAGCGGGGATCAAGAGAAAGGGAAGAGACCAGAGATGTCACTGAAATGAAGAAATACCCCACTCTGGTGCCTTTTCAAGCAAGGCAGGATATCTAGATACTTTGATTGATACATGCTTTCAGCATGCTAGTTCAGCACATCCAAGAGGGTCCTGTCTAAGACTCATTATTTCTGAGTGGCTTAGAAACATCATGATACTTAACATGGGAGTAAAATTGAACACTTCTTCAGAGATGAGAGCAGTTTGCTTAGCTTCTCCTTTCATTCTTTCTTAATCAGCAGCCTTGCTTTAGCAGGTGGGCTCACAGCCGATGGGCTGGCAGCAGCTGGGCTGGCAGCAGTAACAGCAGCAGGCTGGGCGGCAGCAGGACTGTCCACAGTAGGATGGGCGGCAGCAGGGGGCCTGGGCATGGTGCAGCTGGCAGCAGGTTGGGGGTGTGCAGCTCACCACGCAGCAGGGGGGCAGGCAGGTGTCCTCCACGCGGCAGTCAGGGCGGCACCACCTGACTCGGCAGCTCACAGCTCCACAGCCACCCTCCTGGCCACCACCAGTGCCACAGCTGGTTCCACAGCAGCTGGGCTGGCAGCAGGTTGGCTGACAGGAGCTGGTCTGGCAACAGCTGGGCTGGCAGGAGCTGGGCTGGCAGCAGCTGGGCTGACAACAGCTGGGCTGGCAGCAGCTGGAGCCACAGTTCCCACTGGTGGTACAGGTGGGAAATCCACAGAAGCTAGTGGAGCAGCAGGCCATGTCAGGAGCTCAGTTGACAGTTGGTTTGCTTGGTGAAGTTTCTGGGTTAGAGCTGCTTATTTCACTTGGGCCTTTTATAGGTCTTGGCCAGTTCCTGTGTTTTTGGTGGGCAGCATTTTTATCTTGTTACTCTTTAAACAAGCTTTTCCAGAGTCCTTTGATTGTTCAAATACTGAGTTATTTTAAATGCATCCCAGATTGGTTTTTCCTTATTGCTCAGCTAATGCTCACTAAATGTTTTTGTCCTTGGTAGAAATGTTGTTTCATTTCCAAACAATGCTATAATTTCTCCTCAAGTCTCAGCTTCCATTCTGCATTTATGATCATATCACCTGACAAAGTGACTCTCACTCATAAGATGATGTGAATTTTTAGGGTCATATTCACCAGACTCAAGTCTCCAGAGAAAAATTACTAACAACTGGTTGTCTTTTATGTAAGACTATCTTTGTATTTTTTGATTAATAAGATTATAGTCCCTACAGTCAGCCAGATAAAAACTCTGATAAACTTCACATTCATAGAAATTCATAGATTTTTTTCCAGGAATTGGACCTCTCCAATTTCCATGATCTCTCCTGAACTTCACACATTTAGACATCAGAATATACCACTGAGGAAGATCAGTAGAACAAAAATGGTTCTGTTCCAATTTATTGTGGATATTTTATTAGCATGAATTTAAAAGGTTAAAATTCATAGCCAATAATTAGGAAAATATCACACAAAATTTCAAGTATAATTTGTATTTCCCTATGAAAGGTAAAAATCACTGCTATGTAGATTATCTAGATGGTATTTTTTTAAAAGATTTTATTTATTTATTTGACAGAGAGATCACAAGTAGGCAGAGAGGCAGGCAGAGAGAGGAGGGGAAGCAGGCTCCCCACTGAGCAGAGAGCCCCATGTGGGGCTCCATCCCAGGACCCTGAGATCATGACTTGAGCTGAAGACAGAGGCTTAACCCCCTGAGCCACCCAGGCACCCCTAGACAGTATTTCTTAAAGGTGGGATTTTCCATTTTATGTAACTATACCATGTGCCCTGTGAAATTATATTAGGCCAAAGAGCATGACAATTGATTTTATGAAGGGGAATCAATAAAAGAAAAAGCAGGAGTTAGGAGATACTTTTTCTGGATTACAGTGTATATAAGGCAGGGTAGGAAATGAATGATCAAATATCATTCAATAGATATAAGTGCAAAGAGATTAAATATCCTTATACTTAAGATATAAGTGTAAAGGGATTGATGTTGTGGTATGGGCCATTTTTAATTTTCCCTGAGCTTCAGTCAATGTTAGAATATACTGTTAAATCTAGGAATGGCTATAATTTGGAGAGGTAAGTGATTTGCTCCATTTACAGAGTACATAACCAGAAATTTTGATGTAAATTACAGGAAAATAAATTTGAAACAATTTTGGTGGTTGTCAAAAGAAAGAATTTGTTGTCAAAAGATGAATGTGTAGGGTTACATGGGGGGAAATGAAAAAAAAAAGTGGTGACCAAAAAGAGCATATTATTGCTACTTGTGGTATTTTTATTCTTTCCTTCCAATCTTGAATAGGAGCACATAGTTAGTTATTTATGAGGTGGAAGAATTGGTTTGTGCAGTGATAGAATTACATTAAGATGTGATTCATGCCACTGTCAAGAAAGATGTTCATGTCATATGATAACCATAACTATAGGTATGAAGTTAAAAAGTGGTTGAAGGATTCATTAAATATCAGAGATAAAAAAATTAATAAATCACCTTGTCCAAATGTTTGATTGTATAGTTATAGAAACTGACATCATTAAAAAAAAAAAGAAACTGACATCATTGTTTTTATAAGTAGCAAATGTTTATTAAGTCATCATTTATGCACATAGCAGTAAAGGGTTGTGCAGAAAGCAAGATTCAATCTGTCTCATATCTTGCTCTAGTGTACAAATCATTGTAGTATTGATAGGAGGGATGAATCAAGGGAAAGAGTCAAATATATTATCATCCATCCTCATAGTTTTAAGTTGGAACACTGATGTTGTGGTACAGACTGCTTTTAATTTCCTCTTGGCATTAGCTGATGTTAGTATACTACTGAGTCCAGGAGTGACTGCATTTTGGAGAGGTTAGTGACTTGCTTTATTCACATAGCACACAACAGAAGAGCTGGGTATAAAACTCCTACCTCTCCCTCCTGTATCAGTTCATTTTATTTTATATCATGCTGTTTTCCAGGATAAATAAATTATTAAAACTCTTTGTCTCCTATTAAGAAAATACTTTAAAAAAAGAAAATACTTTATAATAGCTCAGGAATAGAAATATTAGTAGTGAGCAGAAATGCTATGGAGTAGTAACTTTAATCACATAGTAAATAAGCATGAATATGTTCAGATTCTTTTAAGTGTCTTCTGGCCAGAAGGGTTTTCTCTAGAACCGCAATAACACATTTGATTTTTAATTGTTTCTTGTTTCCCACATTCATATTAGGTAACATACCTTGGGTTTCTATGTCTGCCATATTCTTTGTGTCTTCTTTATTCCGTGGCTATCATCTTAGTTAAGTTCTTACTGTGTATCACTTGGACCAGTACAATGGCCTCTTAATTTGTTTCTGTATAGCCATTATATGTCCAGACTTTGGAGTTCTTTTTTGATAAGCAGCTGCCATAAGAATCATCCTGTTACCCAATGCCTGTCATGCCATTCTCTTTTTCCAAGGCTTTCAACAGGTCCTTAGAATTTATTGCATTAAGGGCATACTCCTTTGGTTAGTATTCAAAGCATACGCATTTTCCAAATCTATTTTCCATTATTCCTTTGGGCTCTCTGCTCATTCTACATATGTCCAGTGTTCCCAGCCAAACTATCCTCTGAATAATCCCTCTCTATATACATTTGTGCACACTGTTACCAGTGTTGAGAATGCCATCTGCCCTTAGATCTGCATGCCAAAATCTTAACCCATATACAATGCTAGTTCCCTTTTCAGTCCTTCTTGTTCTCCCCAATCAATAGTGATTTCTCTATTGACATCAAAGTGTGTTGTACTTTTTTTTCATTTTGTAATTTTTACTTGCATTATTATGACTTTCATTTCTCTCCCTAGAAGTTTTTTAAATAGGGACACATTTTTAACTCAAGTTTAATTGCTGTTGCATACCATCTAGCCTGTGATTTGCCAATGTTAGGCAATCAGTACATTTTTAATTTAAATTTAATAAAAATAATTAGAATGAATAAGTAAAACCAAATATGTATTTGCTAGGCCAAAGAAGAGAAGTTTATTAGAAAACAAGCATGCCACAAGACCCAAGATCTACAGTGGGAAGAAGGGAGTTGATACTGTTACAAAGACTTGAGAACAGTCCAAGTCTTAAGAGATGAGCCTGGATTTCCATTCATCCTCTGGTTGGCTTGGACTTTGATGGTTCAGGGCAGGAGTTTTGGTAGGTAGAGATGGGAGTATGGCTTTTTTTTTTTTTTTTTCCAGAAGGTTGATTGCTTGTTCTAGATGGTCAGTACACTTCTCAGCAGCAGGGGGAGGTCCTACAGGTGGTGCGGCAGGGGGCAGGCTGGCAGCAGGGGGGGGCGGCAGCAGGGCGCCTGCACAGAGATGGGCTGGCAGCAGGTGGAGGCCCAGCAGCAGGGGCGGCAGACCACGGCCGTGCAGGACGTGGGGCAGCAGCTGATGGGGCGGCAGCAGCCCTCCTGCAGGCCACAGGGGTCACAGCAGACGGGGCGGCGGCAGGGCTCACAGATGGGGCGCGTGCAGCGGCAGGTGCAGGTCACGGGGCGGCACACGGTGGTCTGGCAGGACACGGGGCGGCAGCAGCAGGGGTCGCGGCAGCAGCAGGGCTGGCAGCAACCTCCTCCACAGCCCGAGGAGGAGCAGGTGGAGCCACAGCAGGAGCCGGACATGGTGATGTCTGGGGTTGTTTAGGGTTGGACTGGTGAGAGGATTTGGGTGTTGTCAGGTATGAATGTCTCTGTCCTACTCTGGGCCCTTTATATACCCTGGCCAGCTGCTGATGACACACCCCCCCCCTTTATCTTTTGGCCAATTAAGTAGAATTTTGTTTTGACTAATGATTGCATTGCTTGTGACATACTCACGATCTCATTAGAGAACTCTTGTTTTCCTAAATATGGATCTATTCATGCTGTTCATCATCAAAATCTAAACCCTCACAGTCATTTGGGATAATAACAGCTCTTCATGTTTATGTTGGGTAGGTAGCACCTGATGAATGTTGGGGAAAATGGTCCTAAAGGAACTGCAAATTGTAAAAGAAACATATAGGGGTCTCTAGATCAGTGACTGGATCCTGACTTGACCCCCAGGAGATGCCCTGAGAAACCTGCATGTGAGTCAAACAGGTATTGGACATGTCCTTGGGTCTGGACTCCTTGGAAGTTTATTGACATATTACTTGATACAATAGAATGCATATACCTTGAATAAGACCGCAGTTCAGATAGTTTGTATGGGAAAGATAAAAGGTTACTTTTGTAAGTCAGTTAAGTTATTGACATAAAATATCCATGGTTGCATTTCATTTTTTCCCCTTCTTTTCTCTAGGTCAAGTTTGAGCGACTGTGGTCCTTCTGGCCACAGAATGTTGATATTTATTTCTGAGACGTGACTTTTTTTTATATTTGCCTTTCTTATATCTATGATAGAGAATTGTGTAACAAGAATTTTTGTCTTAATATCCTTGACATAGGCACTGTATGACTAAGTGGTAAGATGGAGGTTTTCAATCAGCATTGCAGACATAGATAATACATTGATCAGAGGAGGCATGTAGGAGGCTGCACAGGTGTTCTGTGATGACACTGCTTCTTAGGAAGTGTTGTTAGAGGCCCTTGGGGAGTTACATGGGGGAAGAAGTCTCATTACTTTTTAGCTTTTCCCCTTTTATTATTCACCAGACAGGATTTTTGGTCACTTTAGGATCATTCCCATCATTCAAAAGAATGTGCCTCAAGCCCCAGGAGCTAAAGATCCCCCAGTGAAATTTTAAACATAATTCTAAAACTTTAGAAGGAATGTAAACTGACTGAACATATAGTCATAATTGGGGAAACATAAGAGGGATACATAAGAGGGATAAATGAAGTGTGGTCTCATCAATGAAGACCTTTGATTCTCTCACATTTCATGTTCTTTCTCTTGTCTATGGACACACTTGACTTTTTTCCAAAGCAGCAACCAGGGCCAAGATAAAAACTCATGTATTCTACTCTTTCTTGTTCTTTTTCTTTTTCCCAGCTTTATTGAGATATAAGTGACATATAACATTTTGTAAGCTTAAAGTGTACATTGGGGTGATTTCATGCGTGTATATATTGAAAAATGTTTACCATGATAAAATTAGTCAACACATCCTTCACTGTACCCTATATAATTATCATTTTGTTATTGATTTTGTTTTTGTTATTGTTTTTATGGTTTTTGTTGTTATTGTTTTTATGATGAAAAGATTAAAGCTTAACTCTCACAGCAACTTTCAAATCTACAACATAGTATTGTGGTTTTTTTTTTAATTAAATTTTATTTTTTCAGTGTTCCAAGATTCATTGTTTATGCACCACACCCAGTGCTCCATGTATGCAATACATGCTCTCCTTAATATCTACCATCAGGCTCACCTATACCCCAATCCCCCTTCTTTCCAAAATGCTCAGTTTGTTTCTCAGAGTCCACAGTCTCTTATGGTGCGTCTCCCGCTCCGATTTCTCCCAATTCATTTTTCCTTTCCTTCTCCTAATGTCCTCCATGTTAATTCTTATGCTCCACAAGTAGGTGAAACCATATGATAACTGACTTTCTCTGCTTAACTTATTTCACTCAACATAATCTCCTCCAGTCCCATCCATGTGGATACAAAAGTTGGGTATTCATCTTTTCTGATGGCTGCGTAATAGTCCATTGTATATATGGACCATATCTTCTTTATCCATTTTTCTGTTGAAGGGCATCTTGGCTCTTTCCACAGTTCAGTGATTATGGCCATTGCTGCTATGAACATTGGGGTACAATGTTCTTTTTACTATATCTGTATCTTTGGGGTAAATACCCAGTAGCACAATTGCAGGATCATAGGATAGCTCTATTTTTAATTTCTTAAGGAATCTTCACACTGTTTTCCAAAGTGTCTGCATTAACTTGCATTTACACCAACACTGTGAGAGGGTTCCCCTTTCTCTACATCCTCTCCAACACTTCTTGTTTCCTGTCCTGTTAATGTTGGCCGTTCTAACTGGTGTAAAGTGGTATCTCAATATGGGTTTGATTTGAATTTCCCTGATGGCTAATGATGATGAACATTTTTTCATGGGTCTGCTAGCCATTTGTATGTCTTCTTTGGAGAAGTGTCTGTTCATGTCTTCTGCCCATTTTTTGACATAATTATCTGTTTTTTGGATGTTGAGATTGAGGAGTTCTTTATAGATCTTGGATATCAGCCCTTTGTCTGTAGTGTCATTTGCGAATATCTTCTCCCATTCTGTGGATTGCCTCTTTGTTTTGTTGACTGTTTCCTTTGTTGTACAGAAATTTTTGATCTTGACGAACTCCCAAAAGTTCATTTTCGCTTTTGTTTCCTTTGTCTTTGGAGACGTGCCTTGAAAGAAGTTGCTGTGGCCGATGTGGAAGAAGTTACTGCCTGTGTTCTCCTCTAGGATTTGTTAACTGTGGTCACTGTGCTGTCCATTATATCCCTGGTGTTCATCTTGTAACTGAAAGTCTGTATCATTTGACCAAAATCTCCCATTTCTCCTACTCCTCACCCCCTGACAACCACCTTTTCTCTGTTCTCTGTTTCTATGAATTCGATGTTTTTGATTCCACATGTGAGATCATACATTATTTGCCTTTCTCTGACTTACTGCACTTAGCGTAGTGCCCTCGAAGTCCATCCATGTTGTTACAAACGGCAAGATTTCCTTCTTTTTTTATGGTTCAGTAATACTTCATTATGTATGTATAAAACACAGTTATTCATGGGGCGCCTGGGTGGCTCAGTGGGTTAAAACCTCTGCCTTCGGCTCAGGTCGTGATCCCAGGGTGCTGGGATCGAGCCCCGCGTTGGGCTCTCTGCTCAGCAGGGAGTCTGCTTTACTCTCTCTCTCTGCCTGCCTCTCTGCCTACTTGTGATCACTGTCTGTCAAATAAATAAAATCTTTTAAAAAAACAGTTATTCCAAGACTTGGAATATACACACACATGGCATATATGTATTACTCATATATATATGCCGTGTGTGTGTGTATACATATATCTCATTTTCTATATGCATTCATCTATCATTTGACATTTAGATTGCTTCAGTGCCTTGGCTCTTGTGAACAATGCTGTAATGAAATGGGAATACAGAACCTCTTTGAGGTCGTGATTTTGTCTCCTTCAGATATATACCCAGAAGTGGGATTGCCTAGGTCATATGTTAGTTCTGTTTTTAATTTTTTGAGGAGTCTCCATACCATTTTCCATAGTAGTTTTACCAGTCTGTATTCTCACCAACAATACACCAAGGAAGGTTCCTTTTTCTCCACATCCTCACTAGCATTTGTTAGATCTTGTTATACTAGTTGCTCTAACAGGTATGATGATATCTCATTGTGGTTTTGATTTGCATTTCCCTGATAATTACTGATGTTGGGCACCTTGTTGGCCTCTGTATGTCTTCTTTGGGAAAATATCTATTCAGGTCCTCTGTCCATTTTTCAATCAAATTGGTTTTTTTTGTTTGTTTATTTGTTTGTTTTGCTTTTTGTTTTAATTTGTTATTTGTAGTCCCGCTTACTGATTTTTTTGTTTTTGTTGCCTGTGCTTAGCTCTTTTCAATGCACATTGTCTCATCAGTTTTTCATATTGTTGGGGGTTTTCATGATCACATTTTATGTAAAGGGAGCCTTTCAAGGATACATAAAACCTTAAGTTAACAAGACTAATTTCTCTACTCTGAACACTTTTGATCCAAAATCATTCCAAAGAGATTTTTTTCTTTCTCCTTTGTAAAGATCTACAGAAAGTCCGTGAGTCTCTCAGAAAGCAGTTCTAGTGTTAGTCTAAGATCCTCATCCCCAGCCCATATTCAAGCTTCATGTGCAGGCAGAGAAAATATGGGTCCAATTTCAGAAATTTGTGCCACAGAACTCTGTGATTTGACATTGGTGGCAAGCCACAGAGCATTTTTTAATGCCGCCTATCCTAAAACTAGGTAACCTTCACTGAAAACTTGGCCACTTATTGGCTGCGTGTCCTTGGGCCATGAAGGTTAATGATAGGACACACAGGTTGTTGTGACAGTAAATAAGCTATTATTTGTCACTTGCTAAGAACAGTGCCTGGCACTTAGTAACTGTCTTGTGTTTATTGAGTGAATATATTTTTAAAAAGTCATTTTCTGTGGGTGCCTTTATAACCTTTAACTTTTGAATTTAGAATAAAGGTGAGCATATTTGCTATGGCAAATGACCTGCTCTTTCAGTTAACACTCTATTCAGGTGATGCCTGCACCACTCTATTCAGTTACCACTCTATTCTATACCACAGAATATACACTAAAAAAGATAATCTATTGGAGAGTCTCATTAATAATGAAGTAAACAAATGAAGTAATAATGAAGTAAAATAAAAATGCCTGGAAGGAAGATATAGAGCTCCGTGTTTTTAACCCAGTTTCTCAAAGGGGAGTTAGGTTATTGTTGTAAAACCTATAAGAAGAATATGTGTCAGAATTGTGGATAGTGGCCTGAACTGTACTGAGAACCCCATGCAACACAGAGTGAGCTCTTAGAAAAACTTCCATTAAAAAAAAGCCTTAAAGCTGATTTAGACAGATTCCTGGTGGTGAAGGGCAACATATTTTGTATTACTAATGCTGAGGACTTTATTTAACACTATCATTTAA